TTTTTTTTTTTTTTTTTTTTTTTTTTGCTCCCCCGCCCTTTTTTTTTTTGCTCCGCCCCCCCTCCGCCCCTCCCTGCGTCCCGATATTTCATCCCTGTGATCTGGTCACCCTACTCTCAAACCCAGCTTGCTGTGGGTAACCTACAAAGAGTTAGCCCTGGCCAATGGGTATAGCTGTCTACAAACAAGGAGCAGGAAGGGAGTGGAGGAGGAGTAACCAGCGGTAATGGGCTGGTACTTGGAAAAATAAACTAGACTAGGAGGTGAGGGGCGGTGTCAGACTGAAGCAGCCTCCACGGTCAAATGGGAAAGTCCTAATGCTGTGGGACACTTAAACAGGATCCTGGAACCTGTACTGTAGACAATGGCCCTGCCTTGATCCCTGGGAACTCACCTGGAATGACCCTGGGCTCTTCCTACTGTCAACTCGGATAGGTGAGTCTGGTCTAGTTTTTTTCCTGTGCATCACATGATCTGTCTGCATGACTTGTCAGCAGTGGGGATTGAACCCAGGTCTGCTAGCCTGAAGCCAATGACACACACATGTCATCCACCAGCTAGAGTCTATAGCAGCTCTCTTACCCCTGTGGGCAATACACCTTGCCTTTACCTTGCTTAGTGTTTCCCAAACACTGGGTCACAACCAGGTTGTAGACTGGTCATGGGCCTGCTGTGGCGGGGAGGTACCCACCCCACTCACATTGTAGCAGTGGGACTAGGCACTGTGTGACAGTGCCACTCCAGTTTGGACTGGCCACCTCTGTCACAGAGGGGTAGGGCTGTGATCCTGTGCAGTGGGTCCCAATTCCTGGAGCGGAGGGGGGTCGGGGTCAGGGCCAGCCCTGCAGGATGGGAGCTGTGGGGTGAGTGCAGGGCAGGCTTGCTATCCAGCCCCCTGTCCTCCTTCCCATCCGGGGGGTGCTTCCCCTCGGTGTTATACCAATAAAAACTAGCAGGATCTTATTAAAGGGGACAAGATAAAGATGCCACATTTATTATGGTAATTTGATTTATGACCAATAACTAATATCTTAATCCTTATACACACACATTATACCTAATACCTATATATACATACACACACACACACACACACACACACACACACACACACTCCACTCCACTCCA